AAACGCCGCCGGTAGCCCCCGGCGAGCGAGGCCGTAACCCTTTGCCTCGCTCGGGCGCCGCGCCCTGCTGGGCCGCTCCAGGGAGAGATTTCGGGGACGGGGGGCGAGGTGGAAAATAGTTTTAGAGCAGTGCCGAGGGGGCCCCGTTTGGTAAAGAAGCTATCAAGCGTCCTAAAATCCCGAGGCCCTTCTCTCCTGCTGGAGAGCGCAGGTAATACACTGGGATTTGCTCAGTTCTGCAGTGCCACAGCAAGGCCTTGGTTATTTAAATAAATTATTTACATCACGGGCATTGCATTTAGATCATTTTAACCTGTTCATCGCTAGTGCTCTCTGCCTGTTTCGGGGCAGCGTTTCTTTGAGGTGCCTATAATATTTCACGGCACAGGAAACGTCACTGTTGGATGCATACCTAGTGCTTTTACTATCAGCGAAACCAATTTTCAAAATGATACTTGGAAACTGAGCCACAAAACTTTGTTTGGCATGAGGGTAGTCACACAGCTGTCTCCGCGTGTCACTTAGAAGAGCGCCTCTGCTCCGAGCAGCAGCAGAGGGATGGAGCTGAACCCATCCCAGTAGGAGAGTATGAGCTTTGCTCATGTGAGTAGCTCCGCTGAAGCCTGGGAGACCACAGCTGCCAAAAAGGAGCGCCTGCTTGGCATGCTGCATTGGGTCTTCAGCCACTGCTAATGCCAAAAGGTTGCATGGGGCTGGGCACAGGGAGTGACACGTGAGGCCAGGCAAGCCCTAGGACTGAGGCATAGTGGTGGCAGGTTGAGGATGGAGGTGATGGGTTTGTTGGGTGAGACCAGGGGCCACCCGGCAGTGGCTCAAGCAAGGCCGTGCACGTCGTTGCAGGTTCTGAAAAACTTCTTACTTGTAGCATGTTTTTCAGGATGCGTGCCAAAGGTCAGAAAATGGGGCTGAACATTTAAGGTGTGATCAGCCCGGTATACTTTAAAAGAAGATATGTTTAACAGCTTGCCTTTGGAGGTGTTTGCATCTTGGCTAGCAGTCTCTGTGCTTCATGCAGCTTAATTGAAAAAGGGATCCCCGGAAAACAGGTTCACAGGAAAAACAATGCCTAATAATTAACTGGTGTATGGTGAAGTTGGTTGTTTTATTACCAGAAAAACCCTTTCCATTTGAATGTTTTACTCATAATTTAACACCTTCAGTTATATCACAGTTACTAGTCTCACACATTGCCATTGTCTCTTTTCTAGCGCTGTGGTTATTGTCTCTTAGCTAAAGTTTCAATGTTTTTATCTTAAAGTTGGAAATAAAATATTACCCACCAGAAAGACAGGTCCTGTTGCAGAACACGCAGTCTGAATTTTAGTTAACTGGACAGAGCAAGTGCTATCTGTGAAAAACAGTAGTAGATCCTTTTTTGCCCAGAGATAGCCTCTGGGGAAATCCCTTAGTCATGTATGAGGTGAGTAGCAGAGTACTTCAAAAACCGTATGAGGTATTCAGAAATGGAGTAGAGGTAAATAAAGAGGTAATCAAGCCATGAGTTAGAAAAGTGTGTCGTATAAAATGGCTCAATCATTTATTTGTTAGTTATAGGTTATTAAATACACTTGTCGTCAACCCTTGGCTGCCTAGACCTGTGAATGTCAAGCACATTTTATATTAAAGTTTATTGCACGTTAATGCTACCACTCTACTGGCTTTACTTAATTGTAGAAACTTCCGCCTTTACATATTGGGATCATAAACATATTCTCTAACAAGGCTGTTACTGGTTAGCTTTTTGTATTTATACACAGTCTGTCTTGTTTGGGAGCGGTATAGCTATTAAATATACAAAACCAGTATTTTTCAAAATGTATGGCATGAGTTAAAGATTGCGGGTATGCACTTGTGTAATGGACGCAGCCTCTTGTTCTCTTCATTGTCCCAAACATTGTATTTTAATTTGAAACCTTCACTGGTTGAAAGTTTGCCAAATGTGTAATTCACCACTGATCTAACAGTATGAGCAGGTCTAAACATGCACAGTAATAAGAAGGTTGCCAGCCCTTTGCTTGTATCTGTGGATACCAAAAACAGCAGAACCAGTTCAGAATACTAGAACAACAGAATGCAGAACAAAATCTTGTTGTGCAAGTTTTAAAACTTTTATCTGTATAACCTTTGTAAAGATTGTAGTGCTTTTTGTGCGCTTTGTAATTGAGCAGCTCGAGCGCTCATGTTCCGCTCTGTGTCTCGTTGTGTTTCCTTCTGCAGTATATATAGTAGTGATGACGATGAAGAAGATGTTGAGATGTACGATCACGATTATGATGGTCTGCTTCCTAAAGTTGGAAAACGTCATTTAGGAAAAACCAGGTGGACCCGTGAAGAGGTAAATATGAGTTCATTCATCACCTTCTGTAGAGCGTGTGAAAAGACATCATGGATCAAATTCTTATCTACCCACTGATTTCAGGGACAATCCCTTTATACGAATAAGGACAACATTTTTGACCTATTAGCTACATTTAATGTTTTTATTTAACTTTGAGAAGCATTCTTTTCTTTTAAATAAAATGCATAAAGAGCAATTTTTATGTCCACTGAGGTCTGCGTTACAGATACTTGAGTCTCTGTGTGATCCCAGTTGGAGAAACAGATTAAGAGTCACCTGCAGTAGTGTTTGGTTGTTACTGCTGCCTCTTTTTGTTTGAAAATGGTTGCTATGTGAGAACTGACGTGTGTTCAGTGTCCCACAGCAGCAAACTGTGGCAGGAACTGCTGCAGCCCTTTTGTGCCATTTGAAATTTGCACTTCTAATTGCAGCATTATGATTCTGAATGGAAATAAATTAAAAGCTAGAAGAAAGAAATCCAACAGTATCAAAATTGAGCATTCAAGATGTATTTCGCTTTTGAAGGTCAAAACACATTTTTAGTCACAGTACCCTTCTGTTGACTTTCCAGATAAATTCTGGTATCAGCTCTTCTGCCAGGTGGATATCCTGTGGCCATTTAATTGCTTTAAGTTTATTGTGAAGTATATAAATACAATTATTAAATTATGTTTTGACTTTCTCCTCTCTACCAACTTATATTGATATATGCACAGTGGCAGGGCCCCCCTTTTTTTTTTTTTTTTTTTTTGGAAATCATGCAAAATAAGGTAACAGGTTCATGGACATATATATGAACAGTGGCAGGTCACCTCTTTTTCTTTTTTTTTTTTTTAATCATAGGCTGCTCTTACGGGGATGGATGTGGTTCTGATACAGCCTGGGAGGAAGGGATGGCTGTGTAGCCCAGTGGCCACTTTGCTGTCACATGAACTGGGGGCGTATTGGGAGGCGCCAAGCCGGGAAGGGGAGGGGTGTTGCCCTCCCCTTATCTGTTGGGGCAGTTCTCTCTTGTGTTAACGCCATCTCGATCCTTCCCAAGTACGATTAGTTGCTTTTGTCTTTAGGGCCTATATTACGGGCCTTATCATTAAAAATAGCGGTGCAAATTTCTTGTTGTGGCGAGTATGCAAAACTCCTTCACAGTGATCAGTAGCGAAAAGGAGCCGTTAGTTTAATCGTACGTTCATGGTAAGCTGATAGGGAATAAGCAAATTACTGGGACTTCCATTACTTGCAAGACATTTGAAGTTCAAGACTCTTGATTTTTAGAGGTCCCAAGACAGCTGGGTGCCTGAGTGTTACTGAATTTCACTGTTAGCCAGATGCCTGGCATCTCGATATCCATGCACTACTGTAAATCCAGTGCAAGAACAACACATGGATTGCTTTAAGCGGCAAAATGGGAATGTGTAAGTTGAGTCACACAGAGGCACAGAAAAAGTCAGTCTTTCTCCTACAGCAAAGTTAAAGAACCTGCCAAGATCCACAGGAGAAGGAAAAATCTCCTGATTTAGGCAATTAAAAGCATAAGAAGACTACAGACTCCCCCTCCTTAATCTCAGGCCATGACCCCACAAAGAAGCAAATACATAAAAAACTAGTAGTAGAGATTTTTTGGGGGGGGGGATCTCTTTCATTTGCGTTATAAGAGATTGCAATATCAATTATGTTTGTTTTTCTTAATGATTTAGGATGAGAAACTGAAGAAGCTTGTGGAACAGAACGGCACAGAAGACTGGAAAGTCATTGCCAATTTCCTTCCTGTAGGTGGATATTGGTTTCTGTTTCCAGTTCTAGTGACAACTCTTTATCAGGGGTTTCCAAGTAAAGGAAAGGGGAGTGGTTGTTTCATAGTTATATTTTCGTGGAAGATATAAAACCTCCACAGATGGAGACCTCAGAAATTTAGTTAGAGTATTGTGGAGGCCTTACCTTAATTTTCCTTTCACTTCTCAGGAAGGGTTGAAAAACATCAAGCAAACAAAAACGGGGGGTGCAGGGGTGTTGCACAGTAGATGAGGTAGATATAACACTAAAACAAAATATCTCAGCACAGAGCAAAAATAGCTTTGATGGACTGTAAGTGCAATTCATAAAATAATATTTTGGGCTCTTCACTTGTTGTAGAAATACTGCATGCGCAAGCTGGTTTTAAATGATAGCTCTCGTGCCAAATGGTGAAGGTTCAGTTTGTGTACTTTTGGTGATACAGTCATAACTGCAGAAATGATGGAAATACTCTCTAGTTCAGTGACCGTCTTGATAGTTGAGCACCTCCTTTTCAGACCTACTGAATCGCTCCCGTATAGTTTAATAATAGTAGCTGACAGTGAAATTCATGGGAAGCAAGTGTACCTAGACTGGAGCGGTATCACTAGATGTTCATCTTTTTAAAGAATGATTTACTTTGCATATCTTACATTTCGTTAGAATCGGACAGATGTTCAGTGCCAGCACCGATGGCAGAAGGTATTAAACCCAGAACTTATCAAAGGCCCGTGGACTAAAGAGGAGGATCAAAGGGTAAGCAGTTTTCCATTTCCATACCTTAATAGTGGATTTCATGAATTGGGACGCTTGAGGTTTCAGTGATGTCGATGCTAACGTGGCCTGAGGCAGGACTGATCCTATATCAGTGCTAAGTATTTATACAGTGCTTTCTAAGTGCTCTGCACAAATTAATTAATGTTGATTTGCAACACTGTGATGTAGAAGTGCAGTCTGGAGATGTCTTTACTATTACTAGACTTTTCCTTTTGGGGAAAAATATAAAGGGGAAATGGGAAGCCTTATCTATGTATTAGCTCTACTGTGGTGATTTTGAGAAATGCCATTGAAAATATTGCTCCACCACAGAAAAATTGCATTGATTCATTATGCATCATTAAATACAGGCAGTTTTTATGTCCTTCTTTGAAGGTAATAGAACTCGTGCAGAAATACGGTCCAAAGCGCTGGTCTGTCATTGCTAAGCATTTGAAGGGAAGGATTGGAAAACAGTGCAGGGAGAGGTGGCACAACCATTTGAATCCAGAAGTGAAGAAAACCTCCTGGACAGAAGAGGAAGATAGAATTATTTACCAGGCACACAAGAGACTGGGAAACAGATGGGCAGAAATTGCAAAGTTGCTGCCTGGACGGTAATGACATATACCTTTAGCTCTTAAATAGGAAAGAAGGAAAAGGCTGCAGGCCTGAGCAGTCTGTTTCAGTTGCCTGGGGCTGCACAGTGTAAATGAAAAAATTTTGGACTCAAATCCTGGAAAGTCAGTGACATCAGGGTGCGTTTTTCCCAGTGGGGAGCTGTACGGTTTGGTCAGTAGATGGAACAATATGCTATTTTTACATGCTTTAATGTTTGCCATAGGTAAAAAAAACAATAGCTAGAGCAAGACCATAGCATTTTCCTATATATGTGTGTAATCTTATTTGTGCTTGAAATAACAGAAAAATTTTAAATTCATTGAACAGGGAAGGATCAGGCTCTACAAGTGGGACACAGTTAATATTCAGTTGAGGGTATATCTTCAACCTGAAATCCAGTCAGTTTATTCAGAAGGATTTAACAGAAGGTTGCTTCAGCATTTGTAATTGCTCCTGAGGCAGTCAGACAATTTTGACCTGTTAAAAATCCATATATAAGATAGGAGAAATAGACTTCCTCAAACTCCAGTCCTGGAAACATTTTATCTCATTCAAAGTTTAAGCACAACTTGCATATGAATTCAGAGATTCAGTGTCTTACTCAGTCTATAGTAAAAGTGAGTCAACATAAAGTGTAATCAAGCGCATAATGTAAACAAATGTTTTCCCTTCTTGTTTTTATTCTTATTATTTGGTGAAACATCTTCAAGATCCAAATGCAACGCCTGAGATTATGATATACTCTTAAGTGGGCGTTCCGTAAGTTTCCTTGGCCTTCTGGAAGAAAACAAGAAATGGATCTGCTGCTGGGGAAGTTTTCCTGTAGCTTCCACACATCACAAATATTTCTTTCAACAATATTGTGTGATGATGAGGTTTTTCAAATAGAGGAGTTGTTTCTAAGTGTGCTCTTACAATCTCACAAACTTGTTAAGTTTTTATAAGCTTTTTCTGACTCATATTTGAGAATTTGAATTTCAGTTTTTCTGCAGCTGAGAAAAATCATAACAGTTTTGTTTACTGTGCTTGTGTGTATAGCATGATGCTATCATTGTCTAGGTAGCCCATTGGAAAGTTGTTTGGAAGTTAGCCTTTTCACAGCTGTTTTCTGCGGTCTGTCTTTCCAGCAAGGAGATACAAGAAAGTTCCACTGAAATATTGAGATTTACAAATATGACGTAGGCAGTGCTTAGGGTAGTCTCAAAGAGGGACTTAGCCGTCACTGTCACCTCATCTCATGGGAATGAGGTGAAGCCAAAGTTCTTAATTTCTTAACGGTCTGAGAACTTAAGACAAGTGTTACAGAAGTGTTGTGTTTCCACAGCACGCGGGTTAGGTTGCTCCAAAAATCATTGAAATTATAGTAGCCCAGCTGTCTTTTTCCCTATCTTTTATAGCGAATGTCTTTCTTGAGAAGTGGAGCGTAGCCTTTTCAAAGGTAGGGGCAGGCGGAAGGTCAGAGAAGAGCACTAGGTTTTGATCAGAAACACCCGCAGCAGTTCCCCGTCAGTTGATTTCAGTCTGAATTTAAAATTCTTATTTGCAAAACTCTTTAAGTATGTGTGTTCCTGTTGTAGAACTGATAATGCCATCAAGAACCACTGGAATTCTACCATGCGCCGGAAGGTCGAGCAGGAGGGCTATCTGCAGGAGTCTTCCAAAGGCAACCTGTCTTCAGCAGCTGCCGGCTTTCAGAAGAGCAGTCACTTGATGGGCTTTGCTCACAATCCGCCTTCTGCGCAGCTCCCAATAGCCGGCCAGCCCCCTATGAGCAACGACTATCCCTATTACCACATCTCTGAGCCACAAAACGTAAGCGCCTGGAAGTGTTTCTTTCTGTTTGGCTTTGGGGAATAGATATAAGTTAGACACGTTGGATCTGAGGAAGGATGCAAGGTCTTTTTGCCAGCCTGGTGGATGGGGGTGAAAAAGTTAGTAAGCCCTTTGGGTCGCTCTTCAGCAGGGCTCGTATGTCTTTGGTGTCAGGCAAGGACTTCTTTGACTAAGGCCGCGATGAATGCATGTACGTTTCAGTTTGGTTGCTGGCATTGTAGTGATGAAATGGGATTCAGCGTTTTTAACATCTTATAAGGGGAAATAACAACTCAGCAATGAAAATGTATTTATTGAGTACTGTTTCTTATAGCGGTTAATTTTATCCTTGTTGAAAATCAGTTGAATCTGGGTAATTCTGTATTCTATGTCAAAATCCTCCCCCGTTCGCGTTAGCAATATTCTGTTTGTGGGTTGTCGTCAGAATCAAGTAAACAAGTATTGTTTTTAATCTGATTCCTTTTCTATTAATGATTAATAATGAAACAGGCTACTGCTTTAAACAGTTGCATTGTCGAGTTTTAGATTATAATAAAATGCATCTTTTGTATTTTCACTTCAATTTAGAAAATTGTACAACTGCATCTATAAATTATTCATCTTTTCTCATTCAGGAAGGATAGATACTTCATATATGAATTTTACTTTCTTCCGCGTTGCTTGCTGTCATATTCCTAAAAACATTTTAGTTTTCTCTTAGACGTTCTTGTTTTCTTGCTATTTCATCTCCGTAGATTATAAATGTTAAGTACCTAAACCCAAATTTATCTTTAACCCAAATGCACAATGCAGGACAGTTAATGTGATAGAAATAATAACTTTTAGTGTCTTCTGCTTTTTGGCCTAGGTCCCTGGCCAGATCCCATATCCAGTAGCACTGCATGTAAATATTCTCAATGTTCCTCAGCCAGCTGCTGCAGCCATTCAGGTAGATAACTTGAACCTCATTTCAAGATCCAATTTGTTAAACGTTTGATATACAAGTCAAAATGTGGACATCTTACACTGAAGAAACATGTTAATGTAATAAGCGTGACGAGAGAAAATGGGGAAGGTGGGGGAGTTCTAACATGGCTAATAATTGCTTCTTCTGAAGTGAACTTAAGACACGATAGTTGACTTCTGGTGTGCTAGCTTTCACTTTCTCCATCTCAAATGTCTGTACTGATATTCAGCAGGGACTTTGATAGTGGAAAACACAATTGACGTTTGTTTCATCTTTGAGTCTAATTTGGCTATTATAACCACAGGACGGCAAGCCATAAGCATTTTAGTTGCTACATCCTATCAGACCTTTATCTTTTCTTTTCCCTTAACTCTTAATTTCAGAGACACTATAATGATGAAGACCCTGAGAAAGAAAAACGAATAAAGGAATTAGAGTTGCTACTAATGTCGACTGAGAATGAACTGAAAGGGCAGCAGGCATTACCAGTAAGACTGTCACTGTGTGCTTGGATGGAGGGATAGCAGCATTACCCCAGTGCTTGTCTTTTTAACTTTTTACTCCCCCTTTGCCTTTGATACTAATCAAGGCTCTATATTTCCATTTTAAAAGGATGAAACATAGCACATATATAGTCCGCATTTGCTTGGTGAATTCTTTTGTAAGAAACTGTTAAACAATTTGCAGTTATTTTACTTTTGAAAAGTGGGAGCAGGGCTGGGCTCTGTTATGTTATGTAATATTGGAAATTGGAAACACGATGGTGATACTAAAATGAAAAATCCCACAGATCTTAAAACAATGGGATCTGCATTCCTGAAAGTGTGCAATGGTTCATATGATGAAAATGTAGTGCCTGTACATCAGATTTTTCTTCTCTGTTGTATTCTTTTCTTCAGCTGAGTATTACACACTTTGTAAGCTTCAGACTTGGTGCATGTTTGACAGTTTGTTTTACTTCTCTGAATAATGTTAGATCCTTCATAACTGCATGTGTGAAACAAATGCTGGCTATTACTGATTTCTTACACTTCGTTGCGTATGCCATTGGATGTTAAAATGTGAAAACCCTTACGTAATTACTTAACACCATCACCAAAGCCACGGACGCCCAAATCGTCTTTGAAGATAGGTGATAGCCAGCAGATTCTTTTTTTGGGTAATATTTAAATTAATAGTAAAACAACTGCATGCATGGTACGTTAGTTTGGCCACTTTTTAACTTTAGTTAATGTTTTGCAATTTCTTCTGTTGCATGATCACACTGGAAAGAAACTTCTGTTAATTTGTTCTTCTGCTTTCCTAACCATGTTGATTTGACAGCCTCTTCATTGCATTGGTGTAAGCTGTAGCATTAGACAGGGACAGAAGAAGAAAAGGAGATAAGCAAACAAAAGCAACTCTAACTCTTAAACTCTTTAGCCTACTACAGTGCTGAGCGCTCAGTAGGGAACTCCTGCCGTTTCTTGCTTCTCACAGAAAATGACTTACAGTCACTTTTTGAGCTTTTTGGAGTAACACGATATGACTTGCTTGTATATGAGTAGTGATACGTGCTCATAATCGTGGAAATCAATAGTGAGGTAACTTTGGGATAACATATACAATGCTGCTATTACTTAAAATGAGATCTTGCCCTGATGAAAGGAAACATCTTGACAATTGTTTCATAGGCATAAGTTTTTAGATGATGATGCAACTACTTTTATCTTTCCTCCAGTGGCATCTGACACCTTGTGCAATTTCATTGCTAAGTTCCTTCTGCCTTTCCCCCCCCCCTTTCTTTTTTTTTTTCCTTCTTCCTTTAGACACAGAACCACACATCAAACTACCCAGGCTGGCACAGCACCGCAATTGCTGACAATGCCAGGACGAGTGGTGACAGTGCACCTGTTTCCTGTTTGGGGGAACATCACCACTGTACTCCCTCTCCACCAGTGGATCACGGTTGCTTACCTGAGGAAAGTGCATCCCCTGCGAGGTGCATGATTGTCCACCAGAGCAACATCCTGGACAATGTTAAGAATCTCTTAGAATTTGCAGAAACACTCCAGTTAATAGACTCCGTAAGTAGAACCGTCGCCTCAGGTCAATTTGCGTGTGGTCAAGGACTAAGGGGAAAGGAGCTGGGAGAGTCCTAAACCTGTTTCTTTTTTCTGAGTAGCTTCTAATTGCTACAAGAGCTGAAGCTTGCCTTCTGAAATAACAACACACGGTTGTTCGTAAATGAAGCCCTCGAGTGTGGATGCGTATGCTCTTTGTGGGTTTCTCCCTTTCCTGCTGCATCTCGGTATGGGAGTGTGATTTTTAGCATAGTGCAAAATAGGAGTTTGAAACAGTTTCTTAATACATTAAATCTGCTTACAGTCAAATCAGAGACACCAACAAACATTTTAAACAATTGAATAATACTTACTTGTATCTGAAGTGATACGTGCTGTAGGTTTATGTGAGGCTGTTGATACATCTGCATTGTTTTCTGAAGGTTTTCCTTGTGGCAGCGGTAGCTGCTTCTCAAAGTTTCAGGAGCTTGCCTGGCATAGCTAAAGAACTGGAAACACAGTATTTAAATACCACATAGCTGACTGGCGTTGACATTGGCATTTCTTCATTATGGTCTCTCAGACGCTACATGTAACAGAAGTAGCGCCTTGAAATACGTTTGTTGGTGGCACCTTACTTCAGCAGCAATGGCATGTGCTTTGTGCGGGGCCACATCCCGTTCAGCATGTCCTGAACAGTCGTGCTGGTTAGAAGGAGATGGACTTAGATTAGAGTCCGGTGCACACATTCCTCTGTAACGAAAGGCTCTCTCTTCATACCGAGCAGCTACTACCAGTGAAGTAGTAAGGACATCATTTGACTCATTGTAGGAACTCAGTTGCCAGCAACACTGGGATGTTAGACAGTTCAGTATACTAAAGGTATACATTAAAATCACAAATAAGCATTCACAGTATTACTCAAATAAACAGGGTCACGCTGCCTTGAATTGGGAAAGACTTTGTTTTTGTTGTTGGTTACTGGCATATCTTAGCGCTGTATTTTCATGAGGTGGCACTATACACTGTCTTATAGCTCCGTGCCTCCCACGTTGTTTCAGGATCCTTCATCATGGGGTGATCTCAGCAGTTTTGAATTCTTTGAAGACACAGATACTTCGGCTAGCAAAGCTCCCTCAGGCAAAGCCGCGCAGCTTCAGCAAAGAGGGGCCAATGCTTGTAGACCTCACGGACACCCCATCACAAACTTGAGCAAAATCATGTCGAGTCAGGGCTCTCCCGGCTCACCAAAGTCCTTATGTGCCTCACAGTGCAGCGCAGCTCCGTGGGTCCTTCTTCGCAAAAGGAGAGGGCACTCCAGCCCCTTAGCCAGTGGCCACAGTAGCACCTTGGTACTAGCTGACGTCAGCAGCTCAACTCCTAAGCGCTCCCCTGTCAAAAGCCTGCCCTTCTCTCCCTCGCAGGTAGATCAAGACTTCTGCACAGATGTTACTAATTCTCAAAAGTCACCGCAGTGTTAACAATCTAGAAACTAATCCTTTGGAACAAATGACTAATTACCGTTGCGCTTGCTGATTTCACTCTGTGTTTGAATCTTCTCGCTGCTCTTAAGTCTTCACTGCTGAGTTTAGATGATCAGCAAGCTAACTGTTGATTCTCTCTTTTTTTTAAATTCATCTGTGGGTTTTTTTTTTTTTTCATTTGGATCATTTTTGTAGGGGAATGTGATTGCTTGCTTTGCTCTTGCTGTTAACTTCTTCAACTACTAGAATTTAACATTTCTGACCATTTGTAATACTTTCCATCTCTGTCCACTTACAGTATGATTCATTGACCTAGAAAACCCCAAACTGCATTTAAATAGCAGTCAGGTTGTGAGACAAACTGACAACAACCGGCAAATTCAAATCATGGCTCTCCATCCTTAACTCAAGCTGTGCGGGGTGGGGTGGAATAGGAATGAAGAGAAAATTGGCCTGTTAAAATTGTCTCATCTGCACTTTGGAATTCGTACCGTTTGTTGCTTTGTTTCACAGCTGTAGCACTATTTAAACATGTTCTGTTTTTTTGGTTGCCCGTGTTATTTCTGTTGGTTTAGTCTTTGGTTTGACTTTGATCCTTAAAGTCAGAAAAACACTATTTCATTGAAGGTTATTAAAAGATTGCATGTAATGGTCTCCCGCTGTATCTCCACTTAGGTGTTTTAATCATATATTATTTATCCAGTGAAATCTATATTTTTATACATGCCGTGCTTTTGAAAAGTTAATTTTAATCTCATTCAAGTAAGTCCAGAATGTAATAGCTCTTATAGTCAGTCTTTATCAGAATAAAGGATACAGCTATACTCACAGATTTGCAGGCATTAGAAATGGAAACAATAGTTTAGGTTACTAAGTGGAATTCCTGCAAAAGTAATTTCCCCCCCTAATGCCACTGCCTCCTTTCCAGTCAGAGATTTCCATTCCAGCGCACTCCATGCAGCCATCGGGGCCACAGTTCTCATCTTACGCTGTGAAAATGGAGCGCTTCGTTTGGATGGTGATGACAGGAAATTTATTTTCCGTTCATAAACACTTTATTTACTGCTTTAAAAGTACCTAGATTCTCCTGATAACTTTCATGGAATTTAGCCCCATTTCCTGTGGGTTTATTCCTGAAACATCCCTTCTTCGTTTTCACTCAGGTCTTACATGGGCATGCTGCTCTTAAAATTAATTGCAGTTAATTTGCAGAATACCCAAATCAGGCTTTTAAGATTTGGCTCTTTAAGCGGTGGAGAATGTTTCTCTTTGGAAGGGAGTATCATTTTGTTTATAAGTTCCCTTTCTGAAGATGCTAGGTTTTGCTTCCTGCATGCGTCAAGCAAACTGTTTGTTGGATTTTTTTTTTGCCACACAGTCAGGTACCCTCCATGCACACACCTGTATTATAGGTTCAGGAGAATCACTTATGTCAGTGAGAAGGAAGTGGTTTCCTTCATTCAATAAAGTCAACTTAAAAATCAGCCTGGATTTAATCTGGATGTTCCTACTGATTTTCTCTTTC